TTTTTGAGACAGAGCCTCACTCTGTTGCCCAGGCTGAAGCACAGTGGCTCCATCTCGGCTCACCACAACCTCCGCCTCCCAGGTTCAAGCAATTCTGCCTTCGCCTCCTGAGTAGCTGGGATTACAAGCGCGCACCACCACGCCTGGCTAATTTTTCTATTTTTAGTAGAGACGCGGTTTCACCATGTTGACCAGGCTGGTCTCAAACTTCTGACCTCGTGATCCACCCGCCTCAGCCTCCCAAAGTTCTGGGATTACAGGCGTGAGCCATCGTACCTGGCTTCCTTCTCTTTTTTTGAGGCAAGGGCTTTCTCTCTGTTGCCCAGTGGCACAATCAGATGATGGCTCACTACAGCCTCAACCTCCGGGCTCAGGTGATCCTCCCACCTCAGCCCCCCAAGGAGCTGGGACCACAGGTGCGTGCCACCACGCCTGGTTAATTTTTGTATTTTTTGTAAAGACAGGCTGGTCCAGAACAGCCTTTTGCCCAGGCTGGCCTCAAACTCCTGGGCTCAAGTGATCCTCCTGCCTAGGCCTCCCAAAGTGCTGGGATTATAACCGTGAGCCACTGTGCCCAGCCAGTTTCCTCCTTCTTAAACTGGGGTGATTATAATAGTCCCTACCTGATGGGGTTCTTGTGAGAATTAAATGAGGCTGTGTAGGGAAAGGGCTCCTGGCTCCAAGAGAATTGGCACTAATGGTGGCTCTGATTATTATGCTGATGCCTCTTAAGGGCAGGGGGACCAGCACACTTTGAGTTCTTTTTTTTTTTTGAGACAGAAAGTCTTGCTCTGTTGCCCAGGCTTGAGCACAGTGGCGTAATCTCAGCTCACAGCAACCTCCACCTCCCAGGTTCAAATGATTCTCCTGCCTCAGCCTCCCAAGTAGTTGGGACTACAGGTGTGTACCACCATGCCTAACTAATTTTCATATTTTCAGTAGAGACAGTTTCACCGTGTTGGCCAGGCTGGTCTCGAACCCTTGACCACAGGTGATCCGCCTGCCTCGCCTCCCAAAGTGCTGGGCTTACAGGTGTGAGCCACATGCCTGACCTCACTCTGAGTTCTTACTGTCAGCGTTGATCACCCCCAGATCTCAGCCAACATCTTCTGGGATAATGAAGAGCACAAGTATCTAGACAGCAGGAAAATGTCATTTAACCACACACACTTGCTCTGCCCTCATGTGCTCCTGAGAACCCAGGATGGGGACTCAAAGGTAATCAATCCCTGCCCTGAACACACTCACAGATCAGCAGTCTGCATACGGATGCATGAATTTCACACCAAAGCCCAGCCCCACTTTCTGCTCAAACACCAGCAATAGAGGCCTCAGGGTTTTAGACTGGGGTTCAGCAAACTATGGCGCATGGGCCAAATCCAGCCCATCACCTGTCTTGGTAAGTAAAGTTTCATGGAAATACAGCCACGCCCATTTGCTAATTTGCCATATTGTCCATAGGTAGTCTGGAGACACGGCTGAGCAAGGCTGAGGCTTGAGAATCACTGAACCTGGAAGTTGCAGTGATCTGAGATCATGCCTCTGCACTCCAGCCTGGGCGGCAGAGCGAGACTCGGTCTCAAAAATATATAAATAAATCAATAAGAAAAAACACCTCTCCATACATGATTTCATATAAGCTTCACAATAAGATTTCCCCTTTTTATAAAGAGGGAAACTGAAGATACTCGGAGCTAAAGTAATTTGCCCAAGGTCACACTGAGAGGCTGTCGTGCACAGATGTTTTGAATGAAGGGCTGACCAAATCCAAAGTCTCTGGCTCTCCTGGTTACCCAAATGAGCAATCCCAGTTGGACTGACAAGTCCTGGAGCCTGGGAGAGTAAACGCCTGACTGACTGCCTGGGTTCCCTCCTGGGGAGGCTGCTGACCTTTGCACGAGAGTCACACTGCCCGGATTTGAGTCCTGGCTCTGATTATGAAATAGGAACACGGCCACGCAGGACAGTAAAATGCAGCTTTGCCTCTGCAGCACCTAGAACAGGATCCACCAGGCAGAAAGCCCTCTGCCACTGTTAGAGCTTTGTGGTTATTTTAGGGCTCGGAGTGCAAGCGAAGGGGAGGGAAGGTGGAAAGTTGCCGCTTCACCTGCAGACGTAACCGCGTGGAGACCTCTTCCTTGGAGGGGACCTGGCCAGAGCTGGTGGGTGATCCCAGGTTCCCTTGTTCTGGGGCTTTGCAGGGGGTGATGCCGCCCCCTCCACCCCCTAGCCTTGATTCCTGAACTTCCCTTAACCCTGCAACGAGGAGGCTGCAGCGGTGGGGAGGCCGAATTCTCATTTCCAAAGCCCTGCCCAGAAGGGCTGCCTTCCCACCTCACCCACCCGAAAGGCGGACCCGGGCCTTCCACTCCAAGAGCAGCAGCCGCAGGGGAGGTCAGAGGACAGGAGGGGAGTGTGGAGCGGTCAGAGCAGGCCTTTGTGTGTTCACTGAAACCCCGGACCAGCCCCCATCTGCCGAAGGGCAGAAAGGCCTCTGGAATCTCCTCTCTTCCCCTGTAGAGGGGAGGGGTCTTCTCTCCTCTTGCCCCTCTTCTCCCACCCACACCCCCAGCCTGCCCTGGAAAGGCCCAAAGAGGGCAAAGGAGGGGCTGAATATTCGTTGAGAAGGAGCCACGAGTTTAGACAAAAACAAATCAGTAACTCCGTCTCCACTTTTCTTCCCCAAACTGTCAGTCACTCCAAGAGGTGAGGGGAGGCTTGCTTTTCCCCACTGGTGGCATAACGAGTTTCCTGCCACGCTCCACTCAGCAAGGCTGCCAGGCGACCAGCTCCCCCAGCACTAGCCAGCAGCAGCTGTGGCCACCTACAGTCACTTAGTCACTGAGACAATACCCAAGGAGCCCCTCACCAAGCCTTCACTTTAGTCTTCTCTGCCATCTGGACAGGGCCTCAAAGCAGTGCCATGCCCGGCTCTCCATTAACTGAGGCTAAGCTTTGATTTAGAAGCAATATCTGGGCCGGGCGCGGTGGCTCACGCCTGTAATCCCAGCACTTTGGGAGGCCGAGGCGGGTGGATCACGAGGTCAAGAGATCAAGACCATCCTGGTCAACATGGTGAAACCCCCT